CCCAATTATCGCCAAATTATGATGAAGAACGAGAGTACATGACTAGAGTCCCATATGCAAATGCAGTTGGCAGTTTGATGTATGCGATGGTGTGTACAAGGCCCGACATTTCACAAGCAGTTGGTGTTGTTAGCAGATATATGCATGACCCCGGTAAAGGTCAATAACAAGTTGTGAAATAAATTCTACGGTACATTCATAATACTGTAGACGTTGGATTAGTTTATGAGCAGGATGAATTTGGTCAATGTGTGGTTGGATATTGTGATTCTGACTACGCGGGCGATTTGGATAAGCGAAGATCAACGACTGGATATTTGTTCACTTTTGCGAAAGCTCCAGTCAGTTGGAAGTCTACCTTACAGTTAATGGTTGCTTTGTCTACAACAGAGGCAGAGTATATGGCGGTTACTGAAGCTGTGAAGGAGGCTATTTGGCTTCAAAGTTTGCTTGAAGACTTGGGAGTTGGTCAAAAGCACGTCTCAGTGCATTGTGACAGTCAGAGCGCTATTCACTTAGCGAAAAATCAAGTATTTCATGCAAGAACGAACCATATTGATGTTCGCTATCACTTTGTGCGGGAGATTTTAGAAGATGGAACCGTTGTGTTGAAGAAGATCAAGACGACGGAGAATCCTGCAGATATGATGACCAAGGTAGTGACAACAGTCAAGTTTGAACATTGTTTGGACTTGACCAACATTTTGCATATTTGAGTTGGCACCGAGAGGCGCATTTGGAGGCACCGCCAGCAGTTGATTTAGATTGAAGAGTCGAAGTGGGAGTAAAATTAGTCAAGGTGGAGAATTGTTAGTTTTTGATTAATTGTTTGTCCCACATCGAATGTATACCAAAAATGTGTAAGATCTTATTAGTATAAATAGGTCCTTTGCCTTTGGGTTACAATTGCACCTTATTCTATTCTCTCCTCTCTTGGTAGGAAATCCTTAATTAAGGAAATCTTAATTTGTGGGTTATTTAACCTTAGTTGTATTTTGTTGGTGAGTTTAGTAAATTTGGCGTTGCGGTTGTGCCTGGAGACGTAGGTTATTTTTGCCGAACTCCGTTATTAATTTTTGTGTTCTTTTTCTTTCTCGTCTTTTATTTATTTGTGTTGGCTTATTTTTGTTTGGAGTAGTGCTTGTCATATTTGTTGAAGGGGTATTTTTGTCCGCTGCGCTTGGTGTTCTACCCCAACAAATTTTTTCAATTAATTGGATGTGCTATCATTATACTCAACAGTGGAGGGAGCAATATGGATGTTAGCTGTTAATTTGGGGTCACTACATTCAACAAAAATTAATTGGAAGAAAATTTTATGATGCTTAAATCTTTAAAATTAGACAGTTAGCACCAAAAAAAAAAAAAAATCATATTTCAACTGAAAACTATATCTAACACAAAAATGCCAAACAAATATACCAATATTATAAATTCCATAGAAAAAATCATTTCAATTGAAGATCAACACAAAATTATTATTTTAAAATTAAATTTCTTTAGAAAATTGACGANGTTTCCATATTCAATTTAGCTAATTTCTTTGGGTTGAATCGTATAATAGTGAAGAATTAGTGCCGGCTAATTTCATTGAACCCAACTTAGCCTAACATAATTAGTACATTACGTGCTCTGTAAGGCCGAATTTTCTAAAGATTCAACATTAGAAAATTCATTGGACCATATAAATCTAGAAAGAGATGCAAGTGTATATATTATTTCCTTTTTTTCATGGGACCTATTTGTCAATAAGAGGACATTTTTGTGCACCAATCCTTTTCATCATAATTTATGGGTGGAAATATTGCTGTTTGTTGTGCTAAGTGGTGGGACAAATGCACTTCAACAAGTACTACATACACAAAAATTCTATGGAGTCATCGGATGATTTTTTTATGGAGTTATTCACCACTTAATATATTGATACCTGTCCAAAGTGTATTTATTGCAGGATACGTGCCAATACACTATTAGTGAATAAGTGTGGATGACTCCATAACAAAACTGATTACGTACAAATTAAATTCTAAATTCTTGAATCAAATGAAAAAAAAAAAAGGCAAAACCATGTGATGTCTCATGTGCAATTAATTGTCCTTTGCACACTATTTTCAAATAGTTTCTGCATGAATCACCCGTTTATAACCATTTGGTGAAAGAAAAACTTTGGCCTATGTACACATATGGAAATTGTTTGATTTTATTTTTTTTTATATTTAAGATCATAACGGCACGATTTAGGCCCGGTCCATGAGCTACCCCAACCTATTTGGTGTTTTTAACTTCCTTGCAGGAAGCGAACCGTGCTTTATTGGCTTGGCCTAGTGGCCCGATGGGCCATAGTGACCCTCTCGTTTGTGGATGAGTGCTCTTGGAGTAGTGGGTTTAAAAAGTTGTCTTTTTAAAAATCCAAGAAATTACAGGACTTGGAGAAAATTTTGTAATCTCCCCTTGGTCCTTCATCTCGGGCGAAATACGCTCGCAAGGAGCTAATCCAAAGAGCTCTTCTAAGTTTGACTCAATTTTTTTCAACACCTATCATGGGTTGAGCTTGTTTAATTGTTCGGTAGAAATTTGCGATGTTGTCCGATTTTAACATTTGATATAGGCTTGTAGTAAGTCTAGGGCGAGCTAGCTTGAGAAGCCATTGAAAAGCTAAAGAAATACTTTATAGCTAATAAGTTAACTGATAGTTTGTAAGTTGATTTTAAGCTGATAGTTTATGAATGATGATCGAAAAGCTAAGTAATACACTAAAAGTGTTTGGCAGAGTTAAAAAATAAGTTAATTGAAATAAAAATCTTAATAGCCCTATTGAAAACGTTGCTCGAATAAATATATATGAAATAAGTTTGTATTTTCTAAAAAGGCTATCATACTAGACAAATCTTGTTTGAATATAAAAAAATTATAAGCTAAATACTAAATAAGTTAGTTATAATCTAGTCGTGTGGTGTCAAATTAAGCTCCAAATAGAGGCTCATTTACATATATACTGTACTAATTCTTAAAATATTACAAAAATACAAGATGAAAAAATTATTTGCACATCTACCTAATCCTTAATCTCTAATCTGTGCACATCACCAAATCTCTAATCCATGTACATCGTAAAGAAAAAAAGTGACATCACCACCGCCCTCAGTCGAGAAGCTTCAGGCAGAGTGCGACGGTCCATGGCTGTGCGCATGATCATTTTTTAACTTTCCATATATAGAAAAGAAATAGAAATAGATAGACAAGAAACGAGGGTTCCTGGGTTGAGTGCGACGGTTCCACGAAAGCTTCTGGTTGTCGCTTGATGCACGGGATGCGGGCGACTGGTCTGAGAGTGCCGAATGTCGAACAACTGCATCTCGCCAGTCACGAGCTGCACGGAGGAGGAGCGAAAAGGTTGAGGTTGTGCGATATCGTCGTACTTGTCTGAAGGTGCGAGGGTGGTTACGTGCTGCTCACAAGTCGCCAGATAAACTACAACATAAATGACTTTAGGTAGGACCAAAGAAATGATACGTAAAAGCTATAACATGTTACGTAAAAGCTATAAAATGTTACCTATAGACAATAGGTAACACAATATTGGCGCTGCAGTTGTTTGTGCTACCTAAAGTCAAAGGTAATACTTTTAGTAGTTTTTGGTAACACTTATATAATACTTTTGCTAGTTTTTTCTAACACTTATTTTAAAAGTGTTACAATAATATGATACATAAAGCAATAATTTGTAAAGTATTACCATAAATGGCGCTACCTAAAGTCATTTATGTTGTACTCGGGTTGAGGTGAGCAGGCTGAACGTTGGGACACGGGAGATGCGCAAGGAAGAAGATGAACAATCAGATATGAGATTTTGTAGCAGATTGGTTGTCGGATGTTTATTTCGTGTATATATTCCGTGTGTAAAAAAAAATTAATTTCGTGTATATTCAGTGTATATACAAGTCCCCAGATAAAACTCAGGATGAGTTGAGAGGGCATAACGTTAGGACCCGGGAGATGACAAGGAAGAAGATGAACAATCAGATCTGAGATTTTGTCCCAGATTGGCTGTCAAATGTTTGTTTCGTGTATATATTCCGTGTCTATACAACAAAAAAAAAAAAAATCAATTTTGTGTATATTTAGTATATATATATACAAATAAAATGAATATGTGTGATACTTTTGCTAATAAAATATTAATTTCATATATATGCAATTATAATGGTGTTTGGTCGTTGTGTGAGTAATTTTCTCCCAAATATATACTTTGGTTAAAACTCTTATTCCAATATCTTACATGATTAATTTTTTTGGAATTGCAGCCCAACAACCGCTTACCATACTGAATTGGCCCAAATTCATGACCACACCATCGGCCTGGCCCATTTTCATTATTGCCCAATAAAACTGCCCATTTTTATTACTAGTTTTCTCTCTTTTAGCTTATTTTTTAATCCTGTGAGAATAAAATATTGACTCTTTTATATATGTCTGCTTGAAAGTTTTTGCAAAATTACAAGTTTCATCATAAAATAAGTAATAACACAATTACCATTTATAAACGAGTCATAAAGAAAAAAAAAATAATACAATTTATAAATCAAAGGGAAAAATAAAACATAAACCAACCATTCATAAACTATAAAAAGAGTTAGTTTATTTGTAATTAAAAAATAAAAACTTCATAAATTGCAAATAAATAAAGANCAATGTAGTTACAAAAATTGTGTAAAACTAATCTGATTTATATATATATCAGTTCCAAGTCCTCAAATCATGAACCAAAAACCAAAAATAGAAATTCTTCATAAAAAAAAAAAAGGAAATAAAAATAAAATCAGAAGGACTGTCATTTGGCAAGATCTTAGTTGTAATGTGAGGTTTAAGAAGTAATCTTCACTGCACGGTATCGTTAGCCCTCCCGTAATCGGATGTTCGTATCCAAATTCTTCTTCGGCCAAACGCAAAAGCTCTCGAAACAAAGGGTGATTAAGATAACATATTGGGATAACAAACCTTGTTTGCAAGTTTTCGCCTACGTAAACCGGAAAATGGCCTCTCGGGACATCGTTAAAAGTCGAGCTTGCCGTGTTTTTCCTTGGCGAAATTGTTCTTATGAGTCTTTTTCTGGTGTGACCTGATAAAATTCCCATCTTTGGAGAGGAAATTTGAAGAATTGATATATGTTGTAAGGGAGTTGAGTAGTATATAAGATTGGCTTGTGTTGAAAATAATGAATGTGTTAATGTGTATATATGGAGAGATGAAATATGAATTCGAGCACGATTTTGAAACATGAAATTTAATTTTGAAAACAAGAAATAGATGGATAATTCAAAATAAATTAATAACAATGATGTTAAAAAATAAAATAAAATGAGCTATATAAGGAGACACATCAGGTGAAATTATTTGGAAAGGGAACCACAAATGGTTTTCTTGACTAATCTATGGGAATTGGGAAGACATAAAGGCCCTACCATTTTAGAGAAACAAAAATGAAAAATGCAACTTGGAAATATTTATGGTAGTTGAGAAAACTTGCTATTGACAATTAAAGATCAAGCAAATGACATACAAATCTTATTTGGTTTCATGTCCTTATCAAGAGTAGTATTTTTTTTTACAATGATAAGAGAGAAATAATTTGGCAATTACTTTAATAGCCTTTACAAGTGCATTGAACTTAAAAACCTTTTATGGTAAAATTTCGTTCAAATTCTTATCTTCATTTTTTTTTACGGGGAGAAAAATTTTAAATGTAGTCTCATGGCTAGCGGTTTGAATTTGGTTAATTAATTAATAATAGTTTAGTAATTGTTAAAAACTAAAAAAATTGGAGAACAATTATGGTCCGAAATTTAATGGTACACTGGCGCATGTCGTGTTACTTTTCGGTCAAATTTTGAATTCCTAACCTAAAATTGGTCAATTTTAGAAATTGAAGGAAAATTAGCTGAACATTTGCACGTTGTGTATCATTCAAATTTCAAACCCAATATTATCTTAAAATCGATTGTTTTAAAAGTTACGAAACTATTATTAATTAATTATAACCGTAATTCTCTGTTGCAGTTGGCCTATATCAACCCCAAACTTTGTCTAATTTTTCTAGTTCGAGCGGTGTCCGTTGTACTTTAATTTATACTATTTTTAAATTTCTAAGTTATTAATATATTTGTGGTTTAAAAAAAAAAATCCAAATTTTATCCCGAAATAAAGAACCAAGACCCGTACCCGTGGCTGTGGCCCGTGTTTAGGAGATAATTACACAATATACAAGACATATCACCCATATTTGTACTATGTTTAGAGTGTTTAGATTTGAGCTTTCTAAGATCACGGATCTTTTCTAAACCAGGCCCAGATAAAGTCTAGCAAAACAAGAGTGGCCCAATTATTTAAGTAGGGTTGGGCTTCCAATAGGACCGCCGTAAGTTCTGATTTCACCGTAATCAAATTGAATCGAGAAGCCATAGCTTGAAGCTTTAACTCTCATTTTTTCTTTTTTCTTTTTCTTTTTATTTTTTCACCTTTTATTCAGGAAAAGAAAAAGGAAGGGAACGCCGAGGTCTCAAGCAGTAAAAAAAATATCTTCAGGTCACCCTGCCTGTTTTCAGGTGTGCACTGCTTTTAT